TATTTACTTGGCAACGCAAGCTACCTGAAATATGATTGGTGAAAAACTCTACCATAATAAATAAGTTACTTATCGAGTGGCTTTCAATGTTATTTAAAATAACAGCCACTCAACTAAGTGGAAATAATATATTATTATTTCCATATATTATTAATATATTATTATTATTAATATATATAATAATTTTGTTTACATATTTATGAAAATAAATAACATAAATTATAAAATAACATAAAATACATAAAAGTAAATTTACTTTTCTGAGAATGTTTAGGCCAGCAGAGAAGGCCTTGCTGGCCCTCAGGGTCCGCCACTGGGTTTGCCAGAGTCAAGCCAGTGCCTCCTTTGCCACGCCTGGGCCGTGTTCGGCCCACATGCGTTATGCCAGTGCCGACACAAGGCCAGCTGTGCCAGCTTCATGCCGGATCCGGGCCAGATGCCTTTGCTGACTGGGTCGTTTTCCGGATGAGGTAATGCATGGCGGACAAAGAAACTGAAGAGCTTTCTTCTGCTGATGTCGCTATGCCACCCACTGGCTGAAGTTGACGTCACCGAGGAGTTGACTGTGCCACGATGACGTCAACTTCCCGTGGTGCATTGTTTTGTCATCATATAGGTCGTGACAAAAGAACGTCAACCCAATGAAGCAGAATTTTGCTCCAAGCCAGCAGTTTTGAAATCATGTATTGCGTTAGCTTCATCACGAAGATAGAAAAGTGGTCTGTCATCTGCACTAAGCATAGGTTGGAAATATGAAGATACATTCCATACATCATTTGGATTAAAGGCCATATTCACAAAAAGATTTGAGCTAAAAAGTATATTCAATGCGAATATATAAGGAACAGTTTTTTTTCATGAAAAAAAAAATCGTGGCAGGTGACACCAACCAGAGTTAAATTCAGAGGAATAAAATAATATGACTGAAATCTGCGCAGTGATCCCTTGCTTATCGCGGTTAATGGGGACCAGAAACCCCCACGAAAGAGGAAAATCCGCGAAGTAGGTTCACCCGCCCCCTCACCCAGATGGATGTGCAGGTATATGTACACAAGACGTCCTACACTGCCCCACTGCTCCGAGGTGCCCCCCAGGGTTCTGTGCTTGGTCCTTTTCTCTTCATCCTCTACCTTCTACCACTTGGCCAAA